GCACGCTTGGCTTCGCATCCGTCGTGCCTTTTGGCATCTTTCTCTTGACGTATGTAGCACGGACTTTGTTCACTGATTTCATCGAATGCCCAGGAGGCAAAAATCAATACAACTCCTGAAATGACATCATCTAATACGGAGTCCTCGGAATTCAAAATAACGACGCGAGCCTTTGTTGAGTGTTCTTCTTTAAGCACTTCTCTATGTAATACAAAAAAAAAATAAAATCAAAAATCAAAAGCTCACCGCATGCTTGGTTGTGCTCAAGAGTGATACGATGAGGTTCAGCGTGGCAATATGGCAAATGGGTACGGTTAGCATCTCTACGAGTTAGCATCTCTACGAGTAGGCTCAGGAGTGATTGGCAATTAAGCTTATGGAAGTGCTAATCGCCGTCGTCGAGGTGCTGAATTCACATTTGGAAAGAAATGTGTGGCTGGCATGCATCAAGTCACTTATTACACACGATGTCGATCATGTCTCGATCTCTGTGTTTGCTTTCCTTGTTCTAACCTCGGCACCGATCTAGCTTGGGAGTCGTTAGCATTTGAGCGAGACTGACTGGAAAGAGAATGCTGCTAGAAGGCCCTTTTACCTCGGCGCAGATAAGAAGACAAACGAGATCTGAAGGCGGATAGGTTTTGTCGGCAGCGCGTGCTGTGCTTAGTCGATATCGAGCGGGGTCTTTCTCACCCCCTAATATCGTCCGCTGCGCAGCCTAATATTTCAAGAGATGGATGATTATTTCGCGCCGTGCCAACTGGCACAACGCGAGTTGAGCTCAAGGTCATCTTGACTCATTTCCGGCTCGGAGGCGGGGCGGCTGCGGACTGCGCCGTTTAATGCCCGTAACGGATTTGTGTTAATAGAACAAAGACGACAGCTCGGCACGAGGGTTGCCTCGCTACGCCGCTTGATGCAACACCGCGGAGGGCCGAGGAGAACGGAGTGGAGACGTACGGAGAGCGGGTACAGATCGGCGCAGCACCTGGAGGCATATGGCAGGGGGGGCGACTCGTGCCTCCCAGCTAATTGAGTCCTAATGAATCACTGCGTTGGCATGTTACATGTCCCTCCTGATGGCTTGTGTCATTGATGGGTCGGAGATGTCATTTGGAAGGGAGGCGGGTTGCGAGTCCCAACACGGGAGACTTTCGGATACCGTCAGCGTCGCGCCGATGACTTCGCCTACCCACCAGATGTTGCGGGGCAAGGCACAGGGAGCGCCGGCAACCTCACACGACACAATAGAAGTCATTGTGGTGTGACGAGGTGGCAATTGGGGGTCTGCGCGATTGGTCGAATACTCAGACGGGTTCAATTTGGGCTGTGCGCAAAGGCACCTGACTGAGAAAACGCTTGAATGCTACTTTTGCGACCGCTCATCAAACGCGGAGTCACGGGGGGGAGAGCTGGAGATGACTTTGTACGAGAGACGGGGTGATCCCCGGACTCATATTCACAAACAATCATTGGCGCTCGGAATTACACCCTTGGGCATTTGAGTTCTTTGTTAACCGAGCATGTTATGTTGTTCAAACGTCGCATGAAGCAACAAACACTTCACACAGAAGGCAGATGCAGTCTCAACCGTGACGTAAGCGTGCCAGCGGAATTGCATCTGTATACTTTGTACAACAAAACCTTTTCATGCCAGTTTTCCCGTTCGGGGTCTCTGGGAGCTGGAGCCGAACCGAGCTGTTCTCGGGCGAAAAGCAGATTCCACCCTAGATTGGTCACCCGTCAATCACAGGGCGCAGAGGGAGTCAGACAAGCATTCAAACTCACATTCACGCAGTCGCAAGTGGGAACTGACCCCAAATGGCCAGCACGGAAGTCAGGCGGACGTACCACTGCACCATCACTGAATGGGACTCAGCATCATACCCAAGTCATCACCTATTAGAGAATAACTTGAATAGGAGAAGTTCATGGTGTCCCCCCCCCCACCCCCATTTCCTGCAAATAGGTTCAAGCAGAAAATCTGGAGAAAAAAAGCAAAACTCACTGACTCATTGGCCGTATTCAACATTTTTGTGTTTTTGGCTCCAATGACGCTTTTGATGCACTGTCAACTTGCAAAGCACCTGTCGTGTTGATCACCCCC